CCTTGGAAGAGCCAGTGTGGCAAAACGCGCGTCGGGACTAGTTTAGTTAGCGGAGTCAGATTAGGGATGATGCTGCAGCCATAATAATTCTAGAGTGGTCGGAGTCAGATTAGGGACGATGCTGCAGCCATAATAATTCTCGTATGACGCTCCGCTTAGACCACCCTCTTTATACATTATTGCCTAGACATTATTACCTTGGTGATCCTTCAGTAGAGGTTACTTTGTTACACTCAGGCTGGTGATTAACGCTTGAAGTTACTGAGAGATAGGAGAGGAAATACTAGTGTCTAATACAGTGAGATAGACTTAAGTGAGATAGACTTAAGTGCTTCTTGCACTAAAGATACTTTTGGATTATTTTTGATCCACTAAGAACTTTCTCTCTGTGCTACTCCTTAGCTATTCCCTAGCTCTCCCTCTCTCTTTTTATTTATTTATTATTTTTTCATTCATTATTTAGGATTTTATTTTAGAAGGAATCTTATTAAAAGTTAAATTTTATACCACTCCTATTGGGTTGCTTTGTATACATAGGGAGCCTTTGGGACTGTCCTTTTTAACCCTTAGGCTTCTCTGTATTTGTCCACCTTTTTTTGTCTTCTCTTATTAATCTAAAGGATTTATTCTCTTCTTGCTGTTGTAATTAAGGAGTTTTACAAGCTGCAGTTGAGTTCCAAATTCAAAACCTCTTGTGACATAACACTCAATTCCTGAACGGTATGCAGATTAGGGGCTGCACTCCCAAATGTAGAATGATGAATGGAGAACCAGGATGAAGAATAAAAAAGAATAAAACAAATTTATTAATATAATCTATAAATTAAAAAAGGAACAATGTCCAAATAAAACCGGAATGCGTTTCACCACTGGGACGTGGCTTCTTCAACCGGATCAATGAGCTGAATGTTTCCTGGTTCTACCGTTCCAAATAAACGAATATATTGCCGGTGTGTGTGTACCGCACACGTCGTTACCACCCACAGGTAAGACGTGTGTGGTCCATGCCTCATTATCATGCCGTAATCGGAGGTAGCTGGACGGATTCACTCACTCGGAGTTCCGTCAGCTGCCTTCGCCTCCACAAAATCAATTAACATAACTCCTATGTAGAATTCGTTGCTGTGATTTAAATCCATATGTAGTCCTCTAAAACAGTAAGGAATTCAGTTGGGTATTCCAATCTTCCACCATCTCTTATGAACGGGGAAGTCTACGTGGATTGCATTAACTCATAAAGTGCCAAAGCCCATAAAAACAGGGGTACATGAAAGGAGAAGATAGAGAATAGTATCAGTCCTTAATATTCATATGTATATCGTATCAAAATCAAATGGATACATCTTTCACATCATATTAACCTCTTCCTAAATAAAACCTAATTCAGATACATAAAAGTACACAATGTCATTTCATTTCCAATGTTCGTTATATTATTACAAAGCTTATATTCTGTATTGAAAGATTACTTTGGACACTTAAAATTTGTTCTTAATGCAAAACTAAATACCAAATACACTGTAAATACTTGTTCAAGTATAATTACAATACCTCAAACATCTTAGAGGTATACTGTTTGTAGCGGAGGTCCCTGTACCCCTGGCTGTGTACCTCTGCCAAGGACCGCTTCTTGGCTGGAGCAGGGGACCAACCGCAGCACTTCTGCCCACAGTTGCCGTGACTTGACTGGGGCCCTGGAACCGCTCCCTCTTGGAGCCGAATAGGAAATAACTCTAGACACCCCCACTGGTCGACACTCAGTCCTGGGAGCGCTAGTCCTTACAAGGACTTTCCCCGTTGAATCTCCTGCAAGCTGGAACAGCAGACACAGGAGTAAATCTTCTCTCCCTCCAATAACAGGACGACACACTGTTTTGGAGTGTAAGCTGGAATAGGTTTTAAGGGTGCCATACTTGGCCTTTTATGAAAGTCCCCAAGCAAGGGTTATGCCCACTTGGAACTTGTTGGAGACAGGGACACAAACTTTCAAAAACCAATAATAACACATTTACAATGTAAGGCACTCCCACACATGACACACAATCCCTCCCCTCTGCTTGGGAGATAATTGGATCAGTAACTGTACTAATTCTAATCCAATTATCTCCAAACACAGAAAAAAACATACATTTCTAAAAAGTCCCAAAAGTACCCCAAAACACACGATATCCCCACAAATGTTACATCCCCTGATAGCCCTGATCTGGGTGACCAACATATACAAAAAGCACCCAGATCAGTTCAGGGGTTCAGGAATTTCCTGGAAGTCATAAATTTGACCGACCGTGCACATGGTCCTATGCCAAAAACAGTTTCATGAAATCAGTGCTAACCGTCGGTCAAGTTTGGTAGTCTTTTACAGGTTTCCCTGCAGGGCCCATAGTCTGTGGGCAGGAGGCTGGCAACCAGGCTCCTCCAGGAGCTTGTGGAAAACTCACTATCCAGGGAGACTATCCAGAACCGAGACGTCCAAATTGGTCTCGGTCTGTGATAGTCTGGTACAGAGAAGAGATTGGGGGCACACCCGAAAGATGCATTATGCAAGAAAGGTGCTACCGCAGTGACCAAAATTCATACAGAAAAAACTAGTTACAGCACACTCAGACTTGTAAAAATTCATAACTAAGAAGGCTACTATAAAACGCCTATCTATGATAATAAATATGGGGATTTAGTTTCACCATATGGCCATATGATGTTAAGCCCACCACTGCTTCAAAGTACCCCAATGTCAGTGGGTCCTACTCTAATTACAAAATGTGGGAGACAAATTAAATAGTACTGGTGCTAAAAACAAGCTACAGTGTATTGAATTAATTTCTTTGTAAGAGCAAAGTGAGTATACAAATAAAGAGTGATTACAGCAATTAAAAACAGTGTAACAACCAAACAATTAAAGTGTTGGTGCTTGAATGAGTATATTTGCAGATAATGTCTGTGCTGCATGAAGAAAAAATAAAAGTGTCATGACTATAAAACTCCCATTTATACACACACCTGTGGCCACCTCTAAATAGTCCTCAGAAGCTGGGGGGCCTGGGTGCGGTGCTTAACCCTAAAGGAATCTGGTCTGGATTCCAAATATACTTGCACAGAGAAGAGATTGGGGGCACAACCGAAAGATGCATTATGCAACAAAGGTGCTGCCGCAGTGACCAAAATTCATACAGAAAAACCTAGTTACAGCGCACTCAGACTTGTAAAAATTCATAACTAAGAAGCCTTCTTAGTTATGAATTTTTACAAGTCTGCGTGCCTTCTTAATTATGAATTTTTACAAGTCTGAGTGCGCTGTAACTAGTTTTTTCCTTAGTTCCCTCTCCTGCACCGGGACCAAGTTTGGGAATGGGCATTTGGGGATCTGGGTAGGCTGCCCAGCATCCCTTTCGGGTTAGTGCAGAGACCTCGGTCCCATATGCACCATCCATGCTAGGAGGCTGGCCCCTGGACGACAGCCCCATCTGCTGGGGTGGGGGACCAACTGTCCCCTCCTGCTGTGGGGTGAGACTGATTGTCTCCACTCCCTATACTGCACTCAACCACTGGGGAGAGAGACTGACTGTCTCTTCTCCCAATAACATACGCTGTCCCTGGGGTACAAGACCGGGTGTCTCTGTTCCTTGGACCTCACACTACCGCTGGGGAGTGAGACCGGTTGTCTCCCCTCCGTGTAATACACACTGCCACTGGGGAGAGAGACCGCTGGGGAGGAAGGACGGCATCTTCATACACACTCTTATTCTTAGCCCCATTGTTGTAACTCAATTAACTTGACTAACTGAATTGTTATGATACCTATTGCATTTGTTGTGAACATTTGTTATATCAATAAAAGATAAATGAAAAGAAAAAAAATGTAAAAGAACAGAAAAGATAGAGCTATGTAAACCAAATCCCAATACTGGCATAGAAACACAGAGGTCAGTACGGTGGTACCAGATCCACCAAATGGGCTTGAACCCAAAACAATAAATGTAAAGGAAGAGTGACTACACCCCAATGAAGGAGGGAACTCAATGCTGTTTTTTAAGGGGGCGGGGGGAGTGAAAAGGAAAACTGCAACATATCATAACTAACTTAGAGCTAAGGTAAGTGGGAAAAAAAATAAAAAAATCACAGAAACCTCAGCTATATGTTTCCATGGTATCAAATAACTTCAATACTTTATTGGGTACAAACAATGCAGAAATGATACAACTGGAATAAATTGCTGGGAAACCGAGAAAAAAAAAAGGAAAGAAAATAGTTATGTATATCTCACAGTCCCATTGTCCTAATTTAGTGGCCAGAAAGTTGCAGTTATCCTCAATAGCGGCTAGAAATCAATCCTAGTAATGGCTGCTGTTGTGGACAAAATAATAACTGTACTAAAATCTTTTTGTCGTAAAATGTCTATTTACTCTGCATAGCTATAATCAATATTAATATTAATCATAAGCTACTTAAGATGGCCGCTAGGGAGTTTACCTTGTCATCGAGTAACACCCTCAATTAACAAGATGGCGCTGGAATCTGGAGCCGGTAGGATGAGCAATTGATGAACTACTTAACACCTAACCAATTATTGATGTATATTCCTTGCTTTATAAGGGGCCTACCAGCCCCCGGGAATAAACATTCCTGATTTTTTCATTAACCTAGAAACCTGTGTCTGGTGTGAATTATTCAGGAAGCGTGCACGCACATATAACCAATTTGGAAAGGGGCAGATACAAAAATGTATCAAACATTTCTTTTGATCCACGACAATTTGGCACCCAACGTGGGGCACTGCGGTTTGCCGGACGGTAATTACCTATATTTTCCTGTATTGTGTTGGTCTCCCTCCGGGTCCATTCCGGCCTCCAGAAGGCAACAAAGACAGGAAAAAATTCTTGCCCGGTGCCTCTTTATAAGAACCTGTTGATTGTCTATCTGCCTCCTGAGTGTGAGTCCTGTGTCTGAAAGAGTTTTCTTGAAAATTTAGTCAGGTTTATTGCATTGTTTTGATATTATTGTTAGCTTAACTGCCTAGAGGGCAGGAAACCGCGACCGCCTGAAAAGTGCTGGGAATTTTGATATTATTGTTAGCTTAACTGCCTAGAGGGCAGGGAATTGCAACCGCCTGAAAAGTGCTGGGAATTTTTGTTGTTCTGTTCAGAGAGGAAAAGGATTTTGTTGATGTGGCGAAAGCCGCCTCGCCACTGGACATTGGAGAGGCCTGGCTGCCCGCCTCCTGCCATGTGCCTATGGCCCCTGGGATGTATTGCCCTTTAAAGACATGATTTGGGCATAAGGGATTTGTGTTGTGCTGCTGCTGGCCCTTTAAGAACCATCTGGGGACATACTGTGGAGTTACTGGGTGGCCACCATTTCCTGTATCATTGGCACATGGTGAGAACAATGGATGAAGCACATGTTGAGAACAATGGATGGCGGCCATTTTAACTTACAGACACTGTTTGGACTTTTCAACACGGTGCTATACAGCAGGGGACACATTATACAGTGATTGTTTTTCATTTAGCCTGTATATGTTCTGCAGAATTTGCATTAAACTGTATCTTCCAAAGTACTGAACAGATCTGGGTGAATTTTGGATATGTGGTTCACCCAGATCCCCCGGTTCCAATGATATACTTTTTTATGGGGTCCCTGTGATGTGTTTTATGAAACTGTATTTCTCTGTCTGTGATAATTAGATTAACTATTGTGTTCAGTAATCATATCACAGGCAGAGGGGAGGATTTTGTGTGGGAGTGTCTGTGTGTATTGTACAGATTGATTGGTTGTTCTGTAAAACCCTGTGGGCAGTACTAAGTTTGTGGATTGGGAATAAAAGAGGCTGTATGTGCTAGTACAATCAGATTCTGCTTGACCTTCAAATGAAGTGTCGTCTCGTTATTGGGGAATTGGATTGTATGCTGACTGCCAGGAGTGTAACCCTTTCGTATGGTTTTCCTGTTTGGATATTTCCAGTGTTCATGTGTTTCCAGTTCGGGAGATCGGTGCTTACAGTAGCTGTCGGTGTATCTGGAAAGGGGAATATCGCCTAAACGGTTTTTAACCTCTGGTGAGCAAAACGGTCCGTTACAGTTGATTAGCGTTGTTATGTTTGCTCCATTGGTTTTTCTCATTATATTGTGGGTATTACTCAGATGGGATTATAGTATGTGTGTTTTGGTTGCTTTAGTGAGCGTTGTGTGGTTTGTTCTTGACTCGAGACTTAGTGCACATATCTACATCTGTGATTCTTGTAAATGTCTTCTTATTAGCATTTCCACCTTCACCTTCTCTCTCATCCTTTTTCTCTACTGTACCTTTAAACCTGAGCAGTGTTAGTCACCCACTACTCGCCTCGCTCCGATCCGTGACCACCATCTCGGGTGGGCGAATCCTGTGACTTGTCTACATTTAGGGAAGACGGACACAGATTCATTTCTCGTGGCAGTCAAGCACTGAAGACACTCTTTTTTTTGTTTCCAACCCTCTATCTCTCTTTAGAGGGACACCTGGTATATTGAGAATGGGACAGGAACATGCAAAACCCGCGAAAGGGTACTTGGTTTGTGATTTGGTAAAGGAAAGGGCTGGTGAGGAGGCTATGCTTAAGGTGAAAACGATCTCTAAGATCTGTGGTGTTTCAATGTCTCCCAGTGGCCGTTTACAGCCTGAGTTTTGGAGGAAGTTGTTACATAGAAACAGAGAATGTGACGGCAGATAAGATCCATTCGGCCCATCTAGTCTGCCTAATTTTCTAAATACTTTCTTTAGTCCCTAGCCTTATCTTATAGTTAGGATAGCCTTATGCCTATCCCACGCATGCTTAAACTCCTTTACTGTGTTAACCTCTACCACTTCAGCTGGAAGGGTATTCCATGCATCCACTACCCTCTCAGTAAAGTAATACTTCCTGATATTATTTTTAAACCTTTGTCCCTCTAATTTAAGACTATGTCCTCTTGTTGTGGTAGTTTTTCTTCTTTTAAATATAGTCTCCTCCTTTACTGTGTTGATTCCCTTTATATATTTAAATGTTTCTATCATATCCCCCCTGTCTCGTCTTTCCTCCAAGCTATACATGTTAAGATCCTTTAACCTTTCCTGGTAAGTTTTATCCTGCAATCCATGAATCAGTTTAGTAGCCCTTCTCTGAACCCTCTCTAAGGTATCAATATCCTTCTGAAGATACAGTCTCCAGTACTGTGTACAATACTCCAAGTGAGGTCTCACCAGTGTTCTGTACAATGGTATGACCACTTCCTTCTTTCTACTGTTAATACCTCTCCCTATACAACCAAGCATTCTGCTAGCATTGACCTTTAAGTCATCAGAAATAATCACCCCTAAATCCCTTTCCTCATATGTTGAGGTTAGGCCTCTATCAAATATTCTGTACTCTGCCCTTGGGTTTTTATGTCCAAGATCTTGCACTTATCCACATTAAATGTCAGTTGCTACAATTCTGACCATTTTTCTAGTTTACCTAAATAATTTGCCATTTGGCTTATCCCTCCTGGAACATCAACCCTGTTACATATCTTAGTATCATCAGCAAAAAGACATACCTTACCATCAAGACCTTCTGCAATATCACTAATAAAAATATTAAAGAGAATGGGGCCAAGTACAGATCCCTGAGGTACCCCACTGGTGACAAGTCCAAGCTTCGAATATATTCCATTAACTACAACCCTCTGTTTCCTGTCACTCAGCCACTGCCTTACCCATTCAACAATATTGGAATCCAAACTTAAAGATTGCAGTTTATTGATAAGCCTTCTATGTGCAACAGTGTCAAAAGCCTTACTGAAATCTAGGTAAGCAATGTCTACTGCACCACCCTGATCTATAATTTTAGTTACCTAATCAAAAAAATCAATAAGATTAGTTTGGCATGATCTCCCTGAAGTAAACCCATGTTGTCTCTGATCTTGAAATCCATGTGTTTTTAGATGTTCAGCAATCCTATCCTTTAACATGGTTTCCATCACTTTCCCCACTACTGAAGTAAGGCTTACTGGCCTATAGTTGCCCGACTCCTCCCTATTACCTTTCTTGTAAATGGGCACAACATTCGCTAACTTCCAATCTTCTGGGACTACCCCTGTTAACAATGATTGGTTAAATAAATCTGTTAATGGTTTTGCTAGTACACCACTAAGCTCTTTTAATAGCTTTGGGTGTATTCCATCAGGTCCCATTGACTTATTTGTCTTTACTTTTGACAGTTGAAATAGAACCTCTTCCTCTGTAAACTCACGTGTAATAAATGACTCATTTATCCTTTTTCTCAACTGAGGTCCCTTTCCTTCATTTTCATCTGTAAATACAGAACAAAAATATTCATTGAGGCAGTCAGCTAGACCTTTATCCTCTTCTACATACCTTCCTTCTTTTGTTTTTAATCTAACTAATCCTTGTTTTACTTTTCTTTTCTCATTTATGTATCTAAATAATGTTTTATCCCCTTTTTTTACTGACTGTGCTATTTTCTCTTCTGTGTGTGATTTGGAAGCTCTTATAACTTGCTTAGCCTTTTTCTGCCTAATCTTATAGATCATTTTGTCTTCACTCTGGGTTTTTTTATAATTCCTAAATGCTAACTTTTTGTTTTTAACTATTTTGGCCACATTTGTGGAGTACCACAGTGGTTTCTTGAATTTTTTGCTTTTACTGACAAGCCTAATGCAATTTTCTGTTGCCTTCAATAGTGCAACTTTTAAATAATCCCATTTCTCTTGGACTCCATTTAAATTTCTCCAGTCTGATAATGACTCCTCTACCCATATTCTAATTTTAGAAAAGTCTGTTTTTCTAAAGTCTAAAACTTTTGTTTTTGTGTGGTGTGACTCAGTCACTGTTCTTATATTAAACCACACTGACAGATGATCACTAGATCCTAAACTTTCACCTACAGTAATATGTGATACCAAATCTCCATTTGTTAACACTAAATCTAGTATGGCCTCTTTACAACTTGTTTTAGAGACAATCCCAGTAGGGAGTTTAGAATATGTGTTCTCCTGGCACAAGTAGCTAATTTTGTTTTCCAATTTACATCAGAAAGATTAAAGTTTCTCTAATTTAAGACTATGTCCTCTTGTTGTGGTAATTTTTCTTCTTTTAAATATAGTCTCCTCCTTTACTGTGTTGATTCCCTTTATATATTTAAATGTTTCTATCATATCCCCCCTGTCTCGTCTTTCCTCCAAGCTATACATGTTAACCTTTCCTGGTACGTTTTATCCTGCAATCCATGAACCAGTTTAGTAGCCCTTTTCTGAACCCTCTCTAAGGTATCAATATCCTTCTGAAGATACGGTCTCCAGTACTGTGAACAATACTCCAAGTGAGGTCTCACCAGTGTTCTGTACAATGGTGAGACCTCGATGATTATAACTTCCCCCTTCATTGTCATTTTAGCTATTTCCTCAACTAGTAGATTATCTAACTCTGTGGGCCTATAAATCACACCTACACGAGTTACTGTGTGATTACCAAATTCTAACGTAACCCAAACGGACTCTATGTTTGCCTCACTAACTCAGAACTTCAGAGAATGACAGTGTGGAAGCAACCTGCCGTATATCATTGGCAAAAACACTAAAAACTTCCTTAACCTCTGAAACCTCATTGCAAGCCAAGTCATTTGTCCCTAGATGGACAAGTACATCCAATTCCCCTTCCTGCTTTGCTTGCTTAACAATATTACAGATACGTCTCCTGTCTCTGTGAGCAGTAGCTCCGGGAAGACACCTCACAAGACCACCATTGTCCATCTCCACACCTCTTATAATGGAATCCCCCAACAACAACTGCTTTCTATTAGGCCTCACCATAGTCTCCAAGCTGGTCTCCACAATACCACTAGCCTCAGTGCCTCTCTCCACAACACCACTAGCCTCAGTGCCTCTCTCCACAACACCACTAGCCTCAGTGCCTCTCTCCACAAAACCACTAGCCTCAGTGCCTCTCTCCACAACACCACTAACCTCAGTGCCTCTCTCCACAACACCATTACACTCTGAAAGTGCAGAAAATGAATTATGAAGAGCAACAGACTGTGCAATATACCCTTTATCCACAACTCTAAGCAGTGGCGGCTCTAGACTTGGCGAGGCCTTAGGCGAAACTCATAAATGAGGCCCCCACTAACACCATTATTGGAAAAAAACAGCAGTTGACTTGTGTGTGTATAAGAAGCTGTAGATATATTGAAGGGCGGGCTTGCAGTACTGGATATAGAGAACTAGTCTTTGTATACGTCGTTGCATTGTCTACTTGTGTGTGCCTGAGAGTGTGTGTCTGGCAGTGAGTATCTTTGTATATGTATGCATGTTTCTCTGAGCATGTGTATGTTTGTGTTACTGCCTGTGGCCTTTGGCATTAAGTTCATGGCGAAGCTATGTTTTATGACAGTGTGTAGAATGATTGCCTTCAGGGGTGACAGGGTGAGTAAAGGAGTAACTGTGGCAGGGTGATTGTAAAAAGAGCAGGAGGGTGCCAGAGTGCGGAGAGTGGTGCCCGTGTGTTTAGAGGGAGAGATAGTGTGTATGGAGGGGGGTGACAGTGTGTACAGAGAGAGGTGACAGTGTGTGGGGGGTGACATAGTGTGAGGGGGTGACATAATGTAGGGAGGTGGCATAGTGTGAGGGGGTG